CATTTACACTACCCTTGAAAAACCGATCTATGCCGAGACCGGTCCGAGCTCGGATCAGTTAACCAGGCCGAGCTCGGTTCTGACGACCGTTTTACACATCACGCTATCTCGACTCCTCGCCTCCTAGTGACGATCTGCGGTATTACTGCCAGTATTGAAGGAGGAAATCAAGCAGTTGGTGGCGGTAATGCACCAAAAGTTGTTCGCCAACCGCCATAAAACACAAGAAGAAGAAGACAAAGAAGGAGGGAATCAAACAAATCAAAATGGCGGCGCCAGTCACATTCAGAAAGTTATGCTGTATTATTGCTGTACCTTGGTGTTATGATTAAAAATGTTGCGTGGAGAAGATTTCGATTGTTGTTTATAGTTGAAGAAGTTGTTCTTCTTCTTCTGTTTCTGGAGGCGCATTACCGCCAACTACTGGAATGGTGTGTGAATCGCGATGTGCAGCCAGACGGAGATGACGCGTTCTGCTCATGCGCTCTTGTTATCAGAGAACCGAGCCAGGGAAAAAACCGAACAGAGCCCACCTCTGGAACTGGTCTGCAGTTAGCTCGGTTCGGTTGTATCTAGCTCGGTTCAGTTCCGTTTGCTTTCCATTTACACACGATAAGTTATCTCAGTTACTGAGCTCGGACCGGTGTCGGCACAGTTTTTCAAGGGTAGTGTAAATGGGGTAAAAGTCCCCGCTCTATATAGTGATTGAGGGATTTAGGGTGGACGTTCGGACACAGTAAGCTGGTATGAGCTATGAGAACGGCAACTTTTAAACACAGCATGCACAAGTACAAATGGGCTTGTGCATGCTCTCGCACACACATTTTTTTTTTAAGTGGAGAGGGCAGGTCTTTTAAAAAATTCAAGAAAATACTTCACACTACAACAAAAGACATTGGTAAGGGGTGCAAATACTTTTCTTTGAGATTGAAGAAGACATAAAAAGTCACCCTTTGATGTCTTGAGCTTATTTTCTTTCCTTTCAGCTCCTCCCTCTGCTAGTCTGATGGATATTCCTGCACCAGAAGCACCAAGCACCAGTCTCCCATCTGCTCAGGTCTCCTACCAGCTGAAGGTTAGGCAAGAATCAAACCAGAGAAAATATATACACAAGTTGGTTTCTTTAATTAAAAGCACTTTGAATGAACATGTAAGCTTAAAACAAAAAAGCAGTAAATAAAGAGTTATGTTTTTTTAAAGCATTTTCATCCATTTTCTCCTGCAGGAGTCTGCTTACATCTTTAGAGAAGGGATGCTTCCTCCTCACAGACAAATGTTCTACCAGCTTTGTGATTTGGAGGTGGACAGGTACCAAAGAAGAGTCCTAAAAGTCTTTCAAACTCTTCCCATTTGTGATCGATGTTTGAAAACGTGACTCTGTCTGCTTTTCCAGTATCAAAGAGGTGATAAATCAGAACAACGGTCAGGAGCAGGTGTGTGACGAGCGAGATGGCTGGTGTGTTGTTGGAACCACAGACAAGCTGAGGGACATCATGTCTGCAATGATTAAAAATGTGGCGAAAGAGAAACAGCAAGGTACACAACAAACCTTCCTTCAAAGGTTTTTTTCCTCTCTTAGGGTCAACTGTTGACTGGGCATGGGTTGGTATGACATTCTGACAGTATGATAACCTGAAGAAAAATCTAATGGTTTTAAGGTATATTTATTACAGCTACTAAATTGCAAGATTTGAAAAATAAAAAAACAAAATGCTTCCTGAGATGTGCTCTGATCATTAGTATAATCTCTATAACAGGGGTCTCCAGTTAAAAATCAGTGCAGTCCGAATAAAAAAAAAAAAAACAGTAAAGGTCTGAAGACATTTTTTAATAATTTGTTACTTTAAACAGCTTTTAACACTGATATAAAAGCAGGTGTTTATGCATCGATGGTATACATTGAATTTTTAATAAAAAATATAAAAAATAAAGTGTTTTCCATTTTCAAATCTAAATTGCTTTTGAACAACCATAATCTTTCAGTTTTAGTATATAAACAATTTCCTGACTCACTTTTTTAAATAAAACTCCTGAACTGACCGTTTTTGTTTTTCTTTCTTTTATTTATGGCTTAATGAGAGCAGTGGGCTTTACGCTGCCCTGCATCGCTTTTAAAACCTTGGTTTGATTGGCGACAAAGCCATTCTCAAGCAAATATCAAAGTGCTCATTCGTGAGCATGGATCAGTATTTATTTTTGATTATGTTCATGGTGGAGAATCCTGCTTCACAGCAGCCGGTTGAGCCAAACATACTCTAAATGTGCAGGGTAATAACTACTGCTGACAATATCTAGCGTTTGCTGTATTTTCCTCTTATCTTTAAATAGCTGAAGTTACTCACAATGAACAGAATAGTCTGACATTTTACTTAAATAGGAGTCGCAATTCTTCTAAATAATATAATTCAAGTAAAAGTAAGAAGTGTGGTCCAGTAAAACTACAACTAAAATTAAAGTTCTTTCAAAATGTTACTCTGTAACTTGTTGCTACCAACCTCTGCTTCAGGGTGATAAAATATTTGCTTATTTCCTGGTAGGGAAGTGAAAAATCCCGACTGTTGAAACTGTTGAGCAATACCTGAGACCTGTGGGAAAATTCCACGGGTGTGTGTTTATGTTGTGATCTTCATGCTGGCTCTTATCTGTGCCTTAAACATTAGTTGTGAACCATTCTCGGCATGATAGAAATTGTCGCCGTTGTCAGGAGTAACTGCGTCCTGACAGCGGCGATATTATTAGTGGAGTGACTCCGTCCTCTGAAGTCTTTGTCAAAACCTCAGTTATCGCAACAAGACTCTGTGTGGATCATAGATCAAAATCAGGATCTAAATGGGGGAAGGGAGACGTGCAATCGCCCCCAAATTGCACCTTAGGGTTTAGATTTATAAACAAAACATTCAGGAATATAGTTTTGCTTAAATTAAAGATTAAAGGTCACATTAGGGCCTGGGAATTTATTGTATTTTAATTTCAATCACAATCTGGGTTTTCAACAATCATAAAAATGAAATGATTATTTTGCTCCCTCATAGTTCACTCTTGCGCTGTTTTCTGTTTCAAATCAAGCAGCCCTCTTAGCGCTGAGCTCGTAGACTCGTTAAGTGGATATTTTTCTCATTCAGTTTTATCATCTGAACTCTTACTGAGATGTTGCATGAAGATGTCAGAAGTAACCATGTTGGTCAGATTGCTATAGGGTTTCACAGCTCTGTGTGCATATAATGTCTCTGGTTTGAAGGCAAATGATCAGGGAAAGCCCAGAGGAAGCCATCTGTAAACTGAAGAAACTGTAGAAAGCAGCCGGTTGATGCCGCGGGTCACAACATGCGCATTGAACACATTGTGTTCTGGTGCAGAGATGTAACAGCATTCAAGATCATACATTTTTATAAATACAGTACCTTTATTAGCTACATTCAATTCAGCATCTCATCATTCCTCAGAGAAGCTAACTTTTGGATCAACAGTGACCATAAACTGATGAATTCTCTAGTTCATTTCCTCTCTTTTTTCCTTCAGAGATGCCAGAAAGTTTCCCTAAAAGAAGGAAAGGCACGGTGAAAGATGGAGACAATGAAGCAGAGGGAGATGAAGAGGAGGAGGAGGGAGATGAAGAGTGTGAAAACAAAGAAGATGAAGAGGAAAATGAGGAAGATGAGTTTCAGCCATCTGAAGGAAGCGAAAATGAGATGGAGACAGATATGCTGGACTATATGTAACAAAATCATGAAATGGTTGGTTGAACTGTTTTCCTTTTTTTAGGGGAATGTAAATAAATAACTGCAACATATCCAAAGTTGTTGTTTTTTTTTTGTTTTTTTTTTAAGGCAGCTTTTTTGATGTTCCTGTAACCAAATGAGTAAAATGTGTTATTCTAATTTACTATATTAATTTAATGGTATGATAGTTTCCAAACACATTTCGAACTAGACACAGATCTCAACAAAAAAGTGGAAAGTGATCAAACTAAATAAAAATGTGAAACTCCCTTTTAAAATGAGACAATATTAATAATATTACAGGGTTAACCTGGGGACTCAACCACCACTAGAGACACAACCCTTCAGTCGTCTGGCTTCTTTTTGGATTTTTCTGATGTAAAAGCTTCTTTGAGGCCTCTTTGTGTGAATATTTAATTTGGTTCGACCTTTAATGCTTTCTCCATCCTTAAATTCATTGTCTTCCACTTAAAACGTTGATGGTAGTTTGTTCAAGAGGGATGTCAAGGAATCTCTCTGCAAATTACAAATGATGCATCCCGATTATATCTTTAAATCAACAGACTCTTAAACTTTGCGCTGAGTTTTGCGTGGATGACGGAGTCCCTCATCTGCTAACAAAGGCTGAGTCCAGCCATTGTTCAGAGGAATTTTGCTCCATTCCCCATAAGTGAGGGTCTCAGCTCTTTGCTGACTGTGCCACATCCACATTGCTGCAGATAAGGCCCTCTTTCGATGGAATAATCCCACCTTTTCTGGTTTAGGACCAGTTTGGTTTGTTTGCAAAAAACTGAAGTCTGTTATGGTGCTATTAGTTTGTCAAAATGCAAAATGAGGTTATTTTTACATGAATGCAAAAGAAAAATAAAATACAGATAAAGATTTAATTGATTCATTTTTAATTAAGAGTTTGGATACATGGTAAGAACACCCAGCCTCCTTGATTCTAAGTTTTGTTTTCTTCATCCTTGATTGGGCTTCATAAAAACATTTAAATTTTAACTTGTCCCATGTCCATTTTTAGCTTAATTCATTGCATAAGTCCATCTTCCATGAGTGGATCACATGGCAAGAAATTTCCATCTCACTTTGAGAAATTTTTTGCATAATATTTCCTAAATTCTGAAGACTCCAAGGCAATATTTATATCATGTTTAAGCCAATTTTAGATTTAGGTATCGGTTTTCAAACTTCAATGTTTCTCTTTATAAAATTTCAGGAACCTGCCCATATGGGCTGGTTAATGATTATGAGTCGTGCATGCACATGTTTCCGATAATGTTTAAAAAGAGTTGGCCTGACAATCACCTTGAGCATCGTGGTTTATTCCTGATGGCTGTTCTTGCAGTTTTGGTTACCTTTTCTCTTTTGCTGGAGATCGTCTCTGCCAACTCTGTAAGTCCTACTCAGACAGATTCTTACATTTTGTATTAAATGTTATACAACTGAGCTCAAATTAATATGCACTCAAATTAATTATGTACAGTTATATGAAAAAAAACAAGTTTATTACATAACAAAGAAGTAAGTTGCTTGAATTGTTTTTTTTTCTTACCAAGAAAAACACTTATGATCAAGTTCATCTCTTTAGTTGGTCCATTTGTAACTCTTGCAGCTCGGGGTTGTGTCCACCGAGGGAGGGAAGGTAGAGGGACAAAACCTTTACCTCGGCTACCGCCGCTACATGGATGTTTTCAAAGGCGTTCCCTTTGCAGACATCCCTGGAAGGTTTGAGAAGCCAGTGCGCCACCCAGGCTGGAGCGGTGCGTAACCCTGACTCACATTCTCTTTTTTTTTTATCACTAATCAAAGCAGCCAATCAGTCCATTCAGGTCCAAGCAGCAATTATAAGTTTGAGCAAAAATGTATAATCTTAAGAAGTTTTTGCATTCTCTTGAATATTATTATTTTTTTAATACTGAATTAAAATATTGTTTTTCAACTGCAGCGGTGATGTAATACTTGAGCTCCATCAATAAATGAGATACTGATATTTTACGCTGATTTCGACAATACCTCAGGAAAGGGCTCTATAATAGAATTAAAAAGGCAAGGCAAATTTATTTGTATAGCACAATTCAGTACAAAGACAATGCAAAGTGCTTTACATGATTAAAATACAGGAAGATAAAACAGAATCAAAGCAAGTAGGAAAAAATAAATAAAAATAAAAAATGCAGAAACAAAAAAGAATATTAAAAACAGTTGGACTAAAGAAAATATGTTTTAGTTGAACTGTTTAACTAGAACAGTCGAAGGCAATCCTAAACAAATGTGTTTTTAGTCTTGATTTAAAGGAACTCAGGCTTTCCACACTTTTACAGTTTTCTGGAAGTTTGTTCCAGATAAGTGGAGCATAGGAACTACATGCTGCTTCTCCATGTTTAGTTCTGGTTCTAGGTATGCAGAGCGGGCTGGAGCCAGGTGACCTGAGTGGTCTGGAGGGTTGATACTCTGATAGCAAGTCTGTGATGTATTTAGGTGCTAAGCCATTCAGAGATTTATAGACTAACAGAAGTATTTTAAAGTCTATTCTCTGAGATACAGGGAGCCAGTGTAAGGACTTTAGAACTGGGGTGATGTGCTCTACTTTCTTAGTCTTAGTGAGGACACGGGCAGCAGCGTTCTGGATCAGCTGCAGCTGTCTGATCCACTTTCTAAGAAATGGTTTTATGGCGTTAAATCTAAGTTTGTTTTCTGTTTTTAAAAGCATTGTAAACCCAAAACACAGAAAGTGTTTTGCACATTTCCCCTTTTAAAGAAATTAACTAACCATGCAGATTCTTTAAGGCATGACTCAAGAAGAAAAAAAATAGTTTCCTTTACAAATAATTGCTTTATCTCAACCAAAGTTAATGAGTTGATGGGTGGTTTGGGTGTATCAAAATCTTTTGTGTAAAAGTGACTAAATAGACGTCTTATTTACCATGACGCATGTTTATAAAAAAATGGATACTTCCTATTGCACCATTTTAATCATCATTTTACATTTATATTTTGTCTGCAATAATTCTGCCCTGTAAAAAAAAGTAAAAAACAAAAGCATTTTTAGGACGAAATTGATTGACTTTTTTGATCTCACAGTGGAGAAATTTACTCGTTACATTGGCTCAGATAGAAAAAGGTTCATGGGCGTATATACAGTGTATACAGTAAATACGGTGCATATATACACAACTGAAGTTTTTTTTTCTTTTGTTTTTTAAAACAGGATTATTATGCAGGTTTATTGCACAGGTTATTTGCATGAGTATTTATATAGATGGGTATTTATCTATATAGCCATTGCACTGTGTATCATATTGCTATGGCTTAAGATATTTGAACCCTTCATGACTTTAGCAAAATTTCAGAAATCTGCTGAACCTAGTTTCTTTTTGAAAGGTAACTTCCCCCCACCTAAACACGTCTTATAATTTCCCTCAATAAGTGAGAAAGTGTCCTATTGGACCTGTTACCCCTGCAACCCAATTTCTAATAAACAGAAGGCGGTTGCTGGGTTTAACAAGGCATCAAAAATAGGCAAAGAAATTTTGCTCCATATTGTTTCAATACGATCATGCAGTTACTGCACATCCATGGCATCCAAACATCCTAAAGGGTCTCTATTGGACAGAGTTCTGGTGACTGTTTGCACTATTACTGTCATGTTCAAAAAACCATTTTAAAATACTTTAAAGTTTGGGCCATGATACATTATCCTGCTAGAAGTAGCCATCAGATGGATTATTCTCTGTGCACAAACCATCAAAATAACAAAAAGATGTAGTCAATGTCTGACTAATTCTAAGACACCGAATATGTGCCAAGAAAATATTCCTTGTAACACCGCAAGCAGTTTAAACCATTTATGCCAGTAATATGCAAATAATGCTGCTGAAACCAAGAGATGTCTGACCAAGGAGTTGAACATGTAGCCATTTTAAAAATATTCTTAATCAAAAATGTCACTTTTTGCTTTCCTGCCTCTGATCAGGTACTCTTAAGACTACCAGCTACAAAGACAAATGCCTTCAACTGGACGCCACAATGATCACCGCCTCTGGCAGTGAAAACTGTCTTTACCTCAATATTTGGGTTCCTCATATCAACACAGGTTAGTACTTAGATTTACTCATGATCAAATGAGACTGACATTAAGTGCTATGTGCTCTTATTTTCATAGTGGCCTCCAATCTGCCGGTCTTGGTCTGGATTCACGGTGGAGCTTTCATGTTTGGAGACTCAAAGGGAACTAGCTTCATGGATACCAATTTGTATGATGGACAAGAAATTGCTGACAGAGGAAATGTAATTGTGGTGACGGTGGCCTACCGTGTAGGAGCGCTTGGCTTCCTGAGCACTGGCGGCTCTGATCTGCCCGGTAGGTGCCCTTTACAAAGATCTAGTTGTTCACCTAATTTGTCTTCTAATAATGATCTTGTTCGATCTGGTGTAGGAAATTATGGACTTTGGGACCAGCATGCTGCCATTGCATGGGTGAACAGAAACATTAAGTCATTTGGAGGAGACCCCAGTAACGTCACCATCTTTGGCGAGTCTGCAGGAGGAGCTGGTGTTAGTTATCAGGTCAGAGGATATTTGTTGTGTACAGCAAATTTTGCAGGGATGAAAATGTAATTAATACATCTATCAACTTATTTAAAAAATATATGTTTCAGAGTATCACCCCTCACAACAAGGGGCTTATTAGGAGAGCAATCTCTGCAAGTGGGGTCTCCCTTTGCCCATGGGCCATCAACAGAAACCCTCGCCAGTATGCTGAACAGGTACTAGATCTTGTGACTTATTTTTTGTGTTGATTATTTGAAACATTAGCGATTTGACATTTTAAGAGCCTTTCTTCAGGTTGCTCAGAGAGTCAACTGCCCCACGGATAGCAGGATGGCTTCCTGCCTGAAAATGACAGATCCCGTTGTTTTAACTAAGGCTGGAACTGTGTCTTTGGCTAGCTCTCCCGACCGTAAGCTCTACACATATGTCACGATATGTTTTCACTTTTTGTTGGTGTTAGTTTAGTGGTTCAAAAGAATGATTTTATTAATGCAATGCTTTTACATCAAAGTTAAAAACCCATTTGTTTAGAACTACCCTTGATCTTTGAAGTTAAACGTTTAACTGAGGTATTCTTAGTTTAAGTTTGTGGTCCAGCTGTTTTTGTTTGTTTTACTACCTGCCTTTATCATGTTTTGTATATTTACTTGATTTTATTCTGCTTTCATTTTACCTTATATTTTATTGTTTAATTCATGAAAAGCACTTTGAATTTAGAAAGCTAAGCTAATTGACAGAGAAAGCTAAGGGTTGGTAAATATGCAAATTTTGTGCATAATCAGAATGCCCCTTTGTCATTGTGCCAAACACAATAAAATTAGCCCATCAAAGAGACACAATAAGCAACATACATAAAACCATAGATAAACCATATTGTCAGAGCATGTTTGCGTATGAGACATCAGACAATGACCCAAGCCCCAAGGCCCCCTCAGCTATAGTTCCTGATAAAGATGTGGTGTCCATTAGGTCAACCTTGGTTGCTCCCAGACACCAGAACACAGATGTAGGAGAAAGATGTGTAGTTGAAGGAGCAGAGCATCTGTTTACATAACATCCAGGATAAGGTGAGATAGCCAGCCTTCAGTGCCATTATACTGTATGGTAAAATCATTTAAGAAAATGGGTGTTTTTTTAATATAAAAAAGTGAAGCTAAAAAGAAAACTTGAGGTTAATATAAAGTGAAAACTGTAGTGACAGGCATTTATTCAGCTCATTCATCTAAGTTGTATCTCCTTTGGTCAGACCCATATGTCTTGAACCTGCTTCTGTCTCCTGTGGTCGATGGAGACTTCCTACCTGATGAGCCATCCAAACTTTTCCACAATGCTGCTGACTTGGACTACATGGCCGGAGGCAATGACATGGATGGCCACATGTTTGCACAGTTCGATGTGCCGTCGATCAACTCTCCGATGTTTATCACCACTTCGTAAGTTCAAGTTGAACCTGTGAGTTTTATATCAACTCAGTTTTCTTTAAGCTTGGTTACACGTGGTCAGATTTCCTTGCAATATTTTAAAGTAATAGTGATCAGTTGTTCTGTTAAGTTTCTGTAGGTTCAGACTGGCTAAAATCAAGAAAAAAACAAACCAAAGTGTCTGTGAACTGCTGTTGGTAACAAACATCATAAACATCAACTTTACCTGAAAATAGTTCTAAAATAAGGCTTACAACTATCAAAAAACAAAATTTGAAGGACCACATGGCCACTTTAAATAATAGTAAAGAAGTTAAACTGTTCACTTTTGCAGTGTTTTAGATGCATTTCATCACATCATTGTCCATAATTCTCCTTCTGACTGAAGCGATGAAGTCAGAAGGCTCTTAGGTGCCCTAACCAAGGAGAAGGGTGCCGCTGGTTACGAGAATGCCTTCGCCACCTACTCCTCAGACTGGGGAAACTATCCAAGCCAGGATACCCTGAAAAAAACTGTTGTGGCCATTGTAACGGACTACATGTTCCTAATTCCCACTCAGACTGCTCTTTATCTCCATGCTGCCAATGCCAGGTGAGAAGCAGCTCTTCATTATAAATAGCTCCTTGCAATGTTAAGAGAGCTTAAGGACGAACTTACCATTGGCAAATATTTAGTTACTTTTTGACAGTTACATCTTTTTTTACCTCTCCATTAAAGAACTGGACGCACCTATTCATATCTCTTCTCTGAGCCTAACCGTATGGGAAATATTTGGTACAAGCCCTGGCTGGGAGCTGATCATGCTGATGACCTACAGTATCTCTTTGGAAAACCCTTCTCCCATCCACTGGAATACTTTCCAAACCATCGTGACCTTTCTGAACACATGATTGCCTACTGGACTAACTTTGCCAAGACAGGGTAAAAAAACAACACAAAAAAATATATTGTAATAAATCTCTAAATTACTGACATGTTTTCTCTTGATGCATACACAGAGACCCTAACAATGGAGACCTGAGCGTGCCTGCTTCATGGCCGGCATTTACATCCAGCGGAGCCAAGTTTGTGGAGATCAATTCCAAGATGGATTCCACTTACGTGAGGCAGAAGTTGAGATTGCGCTATGTGGATTTCTGGGCAGATGTTCTACCCAGTCTGCCAACAGTCTAATCAGAATAAAACATGTGATTGCAAAGAAACTGTTTATCGGTGGTGTGGGTTTATGACAAATACACACATGTATAAGTCATAAAAAACCTGTTTTCTTAGTTTTCAAATTATAACTCATTTCTAAATGAGCTTAGTCATCCTTGATGGTGGATACAATCTTAAGGTTGCTCTGGAACAATATTTTTAGTGCATTAAATAATACAATTATAGTGAAATGCAGTTGAAAGAATAAATTGAAATATTTTGACTGGTATTGCTCCAATGATACCTGTACCGCTTTTACTACTAGTGATTTATTTAGAGCCGAATCTTTCTGTAAGTCTGGCAGTGGTTCCGTTTCAGATTTTTCTTTACTTAACTTTACAAAACAAACATAATTCACAAAGCACCCTGGGCCTTAGGAGAGCTTAAGTAGTGATTAGTTGCATCATTTTCCATTGCTAATTTATTTTTAATAAAAAAAGAAATAAATTCCAGTTTTTTTTTTATATAATTTTCATTTCACTTTTAAAAGAAAACGTTTAGTCAGTGGTGTCAAAAGTACACACATTTCTTACTTAAGTAGAAGTATAGATACTGCAGTTTAAAAACACTCTGGTAAAAGTTGAAGTATCAACTTGACCTCTTTACTCAAGTAAAAGTGAAAAAGTATGTGCTCCAAAATCTACTTAAAGTATAAAAGTATAAAGTAACCTTTAAAAAAAAACAGCCAGATGCCACTATTTGAATTGAAAGCTAATTTTTTTGACTATTTCTAAAAATTCTTTGAGATAGGGCCAAGGATGAGGGAGGTCTTGTTTGTCTCCGTCTCCATCTCCCGATACGCTCTCGCCTGTGTCCGACCTTTAAGACATTTCAACATCTTTCTCTGAATCCTACATTGTAGCATGGCATAGACAATTCACGTTTGCAGTTTGAAGAACACCTGCTTGCTTCTGATGATTTCCTTTAGCTTACCATACAATTGCACTAATTTCAACTAGATGTGGATGGCGCACATTACGTGAAATAAATATTTATAAACATTAAACCGAAGCCAAGAGTAACGAGTAACATTTGTTTTAAAAAGGTAAGGAATAGAAAGTACAGATTCTTGTATGAAAATGTAAAGAGTAGAAGTCAGAAGTAGGAAGAAAATAAGTAATGGAGTAAAGTATAGATACCCAAGAAGTGTACTCGAATACATTAACAAAGTATTGGTACTTCGTTACTTGACACCTCTGCATTTAGTGTTTTTCATATTTATTTGAGCATTGAGACAGGCAGTCATTTTGTCCTCAACTCAACTCAAACTTTATTTATAAAGCACATTTAAAACAAACGGGATTGACCAAAGTGTTGTACAGGAATCACAGTTAAGGAACGTAAGATAAAAACTGAAGGCTAAAATTGAATGGAGATAAAATATAATAGAATGAGTGTTTCAATTAAAATAAAATAAAATCTAAAATAAAATTTGCCAAATGTCCAGTCTTAGACTTGATTAAATCCCAGGGAGAAGAAGTGCACTTTTAAGGATTTAAAAACCTCAGAGGAGCCTGCCGATCGAATATGCCAAGGCAAGTTATTCCAGAGTCTCTGTGCCACTGTCATAAAGGCACGATCACCTTTCCTAATTAATTTAATATGATTGCAACAATACCAAACATGACAATTCTCTAGGATATTCTTCAGAAAAACCTATGAAGGCGATTTCACCCTAAAAAAACAGTTGTTTTATGTATCAACTTCTAGAGATGATAACAGTGTTTTATCTGTCAAGGACAAAAATTAACAAAGACAATAGATTTGATATGAGGGGAATCAAATAAACTAAAATGGGGGAAATACAAAAATAGGTACGGTAATGCAGAGCTATGACTCATGCTATAGCATGCCACAAGAGTAAGACTTATTTTTTGTTTTTTAGTGGAACAGAGTGGGGTCCTGTCACTCTGCCTCTGACTGATCATATATCCTGGCTACTTCCTGGGTATCCGTTTGGCTGGTCAGCGCACATGACTTCCTCGTGGGAGTCTGTGGGTCAAATCTGCAAAACCCGAAAAACAATGTCTGACTTGACATAGAAAACCGACTCATAAGAACATGACAAGCCCTGACACACCGAAGGAAGACGTATCAAAACCAAACATCCTTAAATCTGTATAAGTTCTATATATTAAAAACTAACAGACTTGAATAACACCATTCATAATAAATATATAAAAAAATACTTAAATGAGAAGAAAAGGCTGGGCATTGAATAACTCCTTAATTTTGTGGTTTCTGCATTCATCATTTATGGTGGGTTTTTTTTTATTTTTATTTACTTCAGCAAGTTTTAGGCCATAAACCTTTATATTCATTTTGGACATTGGGTACCAATGTCCATGTTAATATTAACCATGATCACTGGAGTACGTGGAGCCATTTTTCCTTGGTATTTGGCTCTGCATCACCACTCTCCAATTGCTGCAAGACACTTCTACAGAGGCATGAGACCCTGTCCCCCACGGTGCTTCAGGGGAAAACCACCAACTCCAAGAAACTCTGGCTGTGTTTGATTTTGGGGGCTGAGTCCTCCAAGAACCCAGCCAATCTGGATCGGATCTTTCCAAGGAGGCCGGAAGTGAAAATAAGGAAGAGTTCGAGTTCAGCTATAGATTCAAATCGGTCCAGCCTTCTCCACCTGTCACCACCCCTTACTCAGTCTAAACTCTATGACAATTGACTCAGATAGCAGGCAAAGAATGGATGCCGAACTTCTCACTACTTTTCTCTGTGTTAATTACATTCTTGAGCAGCTTCAGCAGCAGTACCGTCGTCACAGATATCAGATTGTATTCCTCCACTGCACAGATATTTGAATCTATGATGTGAGCCATCATGCACAGGTCATCATTTGCACAGGGACTTATAAAACCTTTCAAACAACCAAACATTACCTGCTTTATATGTGACTAAATAACCATTTAGAATAACTCTTTTTATTGATTTAAGATGAAAATATTCACATACTTGTATTATATTAAACTGTACTTACAATATTCACCACTGTTCTTCATGATTTCTCTTTTTCCTTTTAGCACGGAGCAGCCAGCTTGCTTGGACTCAAATGGATCACGGGATACCCTAAGTGAAGAAGGATAAACTGGACCTGTCCTTCCAACCAGGCTAAAAGAATGCTGCACTTGTCGGCTGCATAAAAAGGAGTCTTCGAATCCAAACAGAAGTTGCACAGATAAATCTGACCTTTGGAGGATGCAGCCCCCGCATTTGAACACAGCCTCTGTGTCTTTCAAACCTGCCACACCGAAGAGGAGCCATCATGGAAGGTCACATTCAAAGACCAGAATCTGCAGACTGATCAAGGCTAAGTGGAGACATGGCTAACTTCAGAACCAGATCTGTGCAAAACAGACCTTTTATATAATTTCTCTGAGTTACAGGGAACTTTCAGTTGCTGAAAGACTGAAGGAGTGGAGCACTTGAGAAGAAAAAGCTCCCCTGGAAGGGTATGACCTTTGAGTCAGTGAGGCCCCCCTGCCGGTTGCCCAGTGGGTTTATTTCAGAGACTGTAGTGTTTTGGGACAATACAAAATTTAAAACATCTGATCCCAGAACTTGTTTGATGTCTTGAACTTTCCTACAGGGTACAGTCCAATTTACACCTGTTGCTCCAGTCTTCAATCTGCACATGGAAAATGTTAATGTATTTTTTCCTTTTTATTCCCTTTCAGTTTCCCTTCTTGCAATCAGTGAGTTTACAGTTTTTATTTTTTGCTTCCTTTTAAGTTTCTTGTATTGTTTTACATGTCTGTATTTGCATTGTATCATGTGCGCTGCTGATTTTAATGGTTTCATTTTGCATATAGATAGATATCATTATTCATCTTTTTTTTATTGAAATATAATTGCATGGAGTTGCAATCAGTCGCTGTTCTTGGTAACCCTTAATTTTCATTCTTTCCTTCATTTTGTTAATCTGAGTTCTTACTTTTTTTAATTTAAAGCTACAGTGTGTAATAATTACAGGGATATACAGTCAGAAATGTAATATATTATACATAACTATGTTATTATCATCTACGAGCTCAGCCTCTTAACCTTAATATTTGCGTTGCCTTAGAATTCGTTATTTATAATTACATAGGAGCGGGTCTCGCAGCCATGGAGGCAGACATCTTTGCGCTACGGCAGCGCAGAGCCAACAAACTAGCGATTGCGAGATCGCCCATTACGCTCGAAAGTAACTATTTAAAGTAAATATTTATTATCTTAAGTCTACATGAAATCTATACCCTACACAGACTAATGAAATACTATCTGTAAAATTATCTATGTAAACAAATCTCATCACTTGAGAAGGTAGGTGATGCGGACGTTGTGGAAGACATTTTGTCCCGTAACGCTCGCCGTACTGTTGGGGGGGAGAAGCGGTGGGGGGGAGATGTTCATGTTGCTGCGGTCTGCAGTCTGGACGTTAGATGTCGCTGAAAATTACACACTGTAGCTTTAACAATCCTAAAACCTGTTGTTTTTCTTTAAACATTTGTAAATCAAAATAAAGAATTTGGAACTTTATAACTTTTGCCTTTAGCCTCTGACTTACATCTTGTGATCAAAAGCCTGGAGCAATATCTCCTGGTAATTCTGTTGAATCTTGTCTAAAGTCTAATAATTTTTGCCAACCATTATTCATAGCGGAGGATTAAAACCTCCAATGCATCACTTATCTTCGTAGGTTAGAGGCCATATTAGAGCCAACTTTTTTCTTTATCCTAAACATGTAGCCAAAACCACTGACAGCTCCCACATTTCTGTATGCTAAGGACATCCTCTTCTTACTTACTATGTAGTTTTTTTCTCTTGCCACTCAGTTGCATCTAATCTAGTTTCAACTCTGTGGTTTAGTCTTTTCTGACACCTTTAGCACCTCTTTAATGTCAGTTAAGACCAAATGTGTCTGGCATCATTATTGGTTCGAACAACAATTATCTACCATGCATGTTTATTATAACTAATCTAAATGGTTTTGGATTTTTAATGT